CTTTCTGTTAGAGAACAGATTGACCCAGCTTGTGTCCTTGTATTGCTTGGCTCCTCTGATTGCCTGTAAAGGTAAAAGAATAAGCATCCTTACGTTCATCTCAGTTAATTTATCAACACAAACTAAAGGAACATATTCTTCTGTGCTTGTTTATGCTAATTACATTTATAGGAAATGTCATAAGAGATTAAAATGATAATGGATAACATAATTGCAAAAGGTGGGGACAGGTGTTTTAAGGAATATTTTGTCTGGATTTGACTTTGCCACCCGTTATAATAGATACCTGTCCTTGTGAAATATGTATTTGTCCAGAAGAATGCATTATGTGTACATTATGAGTTAAAATCCATTTCTCAACATTTTGTTGTGTTTGCTTCATTGTGCAAACATTGGAAATAATTTGGGCATCACAAGCATAACATAAAATCACATTGTGTTTTCTGTTCCCTTTTGGCTTCACAAAGGTTCATCTGTCCTTTAGCTTTCCTCTAGATCAGGGGTAGGCAACCTAAGGCCCGGGGGCGGGATGCGGCTCTCCGAGGCCTTTGGACCGGCCCCAGGCTGGTCCTGCAGCCGCCGCCACCCGCCATGATGATATTGATTATTGTTGTTATTACTTGTTCTTGGGGTTTTCTTGGCAAAATCTCCACAGGGGTTTTGCCATAGCTTTTCTGGGGCCGAGAAAGTGTGCATACATATTTTTATTTTTATTTTAAAAAAATTTATTTATTTATTTGTTTATGGTGCTTCGGCCCCCCAATTGTCTGAGGGACAGCAACCTGGCCCCCGGCTCAAAAAGGTTGCCTACCCCTGCTCTAGATTATTTTGTGTAGATACTTAGCAAGCCAATCCCTGTACTAAAAATCAAATTAACAAAAAAAGTAAAACATGGTGCAATGGTTTTTATAATAGAGCAATAATCTCAAACCAACTGAAGCAAGCATTTATCCTGCTATGATGGAAATGGATTTCACATATCATTTAAAGGGAGATTGTAATTTTATTCATCACTTAAGCTCATAAACAAGACATTTCTCTTTTTTCTTAGCAGGGAAGGAAATGTAATTGCATGAGTTTACCCCAACAATAAAAGTAACACTGTCATATTTGGTGGGGACACCCCAGCCCCCCACCTTTCTTTGGATGACACTGGACGTAAGCTAATTTCACAGCTTAATTATATGTGGCTTAAGACATAGTTCATTCTTACAAAATTAAATATCTGAGGTGTTTTCTGTATTATAAAGAGCCTGTGTTATACAACTCCTTTGCTACAATAGCACTGCTGGCTGCTGGCCCAATTCAAAGTGTTGGTGATGATCCGTAAATTCCTTTATAGTTTAGGTCTAGTGTTACCCAAATAAAGGTGGGGAATTGGGGGGTCCCCACCCAATATGACAGTGTTACTTTAATTGTTGGGGAAATTAGTTTTTGCAAGAAGGTGGGTAATCTTTAGGACTGCTTACACCTGTGTATACCAGTACTAACCAAATAAAAATCCAGGTTTGGTGTGAATTAAGAAAGTTTTATTTAGAAAAATATCAAACACACACAATAGCAATTCACATAGACACACGTTCAGAGCTAATCGAACTGGAAATATGGAAATGGGATAGCAAAGTCTTACAGGTTTGCAGGGGTGGTGGTAATTACCTGTCTGATGAATAGACCATGGAAAGCTGGTATGGTTCAGAATGGGAGGTCTGAGGGCAGTACAGTTGCATACATGGAGAGCAGCTTGGGACAACTGTATGCGTACTGTGAGTGTGCGCAGTAGGTTCTTGGAACCAATATTTATATCTAAAATCTAGCCCCAAGTGGTGGGCTATCTTCTCAGGTAACAAAGACTGGATATGTTTTCCCAGGAATTGACAGTGGGATTCCAGACTGGTTGATGACTTTAATTTTTGGGTGACAAAAACAGTGATTGGATCAGGATATCCTCAGGATGGAGGGACAGGGATGTTTGGCTAGAAACACAACAGGGGGTAGGCAGAGAAATTGGCTTACTGCTTTGGGTGCAAGGAGGAAATGCACATGACTTGGGGGTGGGGAAGGAAGGAACACTTAGCACACTCATTTAGATTTGGTTGTCTTATTATCTGGATATGCACATGCCTCAAGACTTGCTCCTTTTCTCCTGGGAACCTGACCAATGCTGTCTCCAAATATGAGATATGAAGTTTAGTGCGGGGTGTACAGCGTGTGCTAATAATAGGCTATCTGAAAGACTATATTGCCATGTACCAGCCTGCTCAGGCCCTGAGATCCTCAGGTGAGGCCCTTCTTTCAATCCAGTCATCTTCACAGGTATGGGACTTTCTCAGTGGCTTCCTCTAGGCTTGTTCCTAGGGAGGCTAGAATGGGCCCTTCATTGCCGCCCATCCATTGGTTTTCATTTGAAAACTGAAGGTTTTCAAAGGAAGGGCTTTTCAAGTGTGCTATGTTGTTTTAAATGTACTATTTTTAAAACAATTGTATATTTAGATTGTTTTTAGTTTTAACAGTTTAATTCTAGTGTAGCATTGTTTTTTGTATTTTTAACTATGTTGTATTTGTTTTATTTTGTAAGCTGCCTTGTGTCCCAGTTTTGAGAGGAAAAATGGGGTAGAAATAAAGATGATGATGATGATGATGATGATGATGATACATACTAATAGTAATATTGAGAAGAACAAGTCCTACCTTGAGAACAGGTATTTTTCTGAAAGGTCTGATTGAGTCTAACCCAAGTAAATGTTACTATATTTTAACAGCAGAAGACAAAAGTGTATGGCACTGACTTTTGACATATGAGGCCATGGAACATGTTGTGTATATGTTTTCCTCTCGGAGCTGAATGCTAATTTTTTAATGTGTTCAGACATGTATGAGAAACAATTTTCTATATGCAGTATCATAAATGTGCATGATGATTACAACATAACATGTATTTATGTGCATGTTTGGGATATTTATAACCTGCTGTTCAGCTCTGAACGAGTTTCACGAATGGCCGACAATGGTTAAAAACTCCAAATCAATAAGTAATGTAAAAATAGTTTTAAGCTATAGGACAGCAAAAGAAATCTTAAAAGTAGAAACCAATGGCACAGTAAGAAAAGCAAAACAGACGATCTAAAAACTCTGATGAAATAAAAATACCTTAATAATGGTTAACCTTAGGTAGGTTTTCCTAGCTAAAGTTTCCCTACCCTAGATGGGTACTGAGAAAGTCCTATGTTGGATCACTACCTGCCTCCCCTGCTAAGTGGGAAGGATTTGAAGACGGTCCCTGAAAAAAGATCTTATGACCATAAATATGCTTTTAAGAACAGCTTAGAAAAAGAAGCCATACTCCTGATTCACAGAATATATAATATACAACCTACAATCTAGGAAGATTACAGATGAGGAAAAAGATAAGGAGGAGGAAAGGTCAAACGATAAATATGTGCAAATGCAGTTATATGAACCTATGTTTGGTTTCAGTTTGGCATGAAGACTGAGGCATTAAAAAAAAGAAGGATTTAAAGATTAAAAGAGAAAGGTGTTCCAGGAGAGAGTTCTCTAAGTATAATGAAAGCCAAGTGATAAAGGACAGAGTTTTTCAGAAGTACTGTAAGTGTTTTGGGCAGCTGGGAAAGAGAGCCAGAGAAGTGAAAACCATAAGGGCAATATGATGGAAACTGTGGGCAAAATAAAAAATGGGATAAAACTGTGAGAAGCTTTAAAATTATTTGCAGGGTGAACAAGGGAATATATTGAAAAGTTATGAGTTGGGTGAATGGTTTTATGTAAAGGACTATGGTGTGTTAATACAGGCTTACAAGCAGGAGGAGGTTTTTTAGATAGGGACAATGAGTTTTAGCTGAGGATACTGAGAAGAAGTGGGGCTGGTTGTCAATTTTTTATAGGAAGAAAATGCACGATCTGCTAGTGGCAGACTGAATATGGAGAGAAAAAAGATCATGATGAAGCCAACATTTTGTTCCTGATGTACAGAGTAAATTGTGATGAAGTTAATGGAGGATAATGTTGGTGGACATCTTGGAAGAAAAATGTAGAATTCTTTCATACATTTTGACTATGAGATGATGATGAGACATCAGTGGAAATAGAGGGAAAGTAATTGGTTTAGAAGGAGAGAACTGGATATAGTCAACATATAGATCAGAAGTGAGCAGCTTGTCATTCTCCAGATTTTGTTGGACTGTAACAGCCCAAGTCAACACAGACAATGGTGATGGGTGATGGGAGTTGCTATCTTGATTTTTTTGGGGAAAGCCACAAGTTAATATTCCAGATATAGATAGTACTGAAATTATAAGGATTAGATAAACTCTTCTAGTGGCAGAGGATAGCAGGACACAGACCACAATCCTCAGGTGCCATATTACAGAGGAGTGAAGGCTTAGGTGGACCTTCATATGGTAGAAATATGATCTAACCCAGTGTTCCCCAAACTTTGGTCCTCCAGATGTTTTGGACTTCAGCTCCAAGAATTCCTGATTGGCATAGCCATTTGAGCCAACAATCAGGAATTCTGAGAGCTGAAGTCCAAAACATCTGGAGGACCAAAGTTTGGGAAACGCTGATCTAACCAGTAAAAGAGGAGGGAATCCAACAAACAGAACAGAGACTCCAAAGGACTACACATTTGTGTCTGTATCATTTCAATAAAAACATGCATTGGCTGGAAGTATTCATCATGAATAAATATTATGTAAGAGTTTTGTTTTTTCCCTACTGTTTCCCAAGAAATATTTGGAATTGCCACTTGAACAAGGATTTCATAACATGCTAAGGGAATTGTTTTTTTTTTCTGAGACATTGAGCCTTCTCTGTCAGAGAGCTCTGGTGCCACAATAAACTACAGTTCCCATGATTCCCTAGCACTGAGTCAGGGCAGTTAAAGTGGACTCAATTTGCACTATTTCTGGCAGTCTGCAAAGGCCTTAAGTGTTTAGATGTGTTGGGCAGTAGTGTATAAATAAAAGATAGCAGCAAAGATGAGAGCAAGTGTGGTGTAGTGGTCTGAATGTTGGACTACAACTCTGGAGACCAGGGTTTGAATCCCTACTGAGCCATGGAAACCCACTGGGTGACCTTGGGTTGAGAGTGTGTGACTTGTCCAAGGTTACCCAGTGGGTTTCAGTGGCCGTACAGGGATTTAAACCCTGGTCTCCTGAGTCATAGTCATCCTGTGCTCATACCACTATGCCACGCTGTACATGTATGGGAAGCTACCTCTCTATACACAAGGTTCCCCTCCCCCTTTTTAGCCTCCATGTGGAGTCACATAATTTAATGGAAAAATTGATCAAAAGAGAGGTTTAAGCATTATGTGCTTATCTGTAGGAAAGAAACTGGGACTCAAGTATATGCTGTGCATTTAATTGAGAATATACTCTCATCTTATTAGCTTCAGCCTTTGGAGCTGAGGCAATGTGTTATGAGGCTACTTGGAAGGTAGTGTTTTCTCATGTATTATAATAATAAATCATTCTGTTGCAAAGATGTCTCTGTTGTACATTTCTGAGCTTGTGTGTTGTCTGGAAGGCAGATTTTAGAAGGGGACTGGAACCTAAACGTAAGTTCACTTCCTATATGAACAATAACAAGGATGATTGTATGGGCGAAGGAAGACAGGGAAGAAATTTCAGCTGTGAGTGGAAAGACACTGTATAGACTCCAGGTATATGCAGTCAAGAAAAAACCCATGATGTACAATTTTGTTAGGGACCAGTTCCAGTTATCTCAGTTTTTGTGGCCATTCAGAATGGTGGACCTGTTTTATGGTATTATCAGACTTTAAAAAAAATGTATAATGAGATGAAATGTGCAGTTACAAGAGAGAGAGAAAAAAATTATAGTTTCAAAATATTATTTCTGCAATTCAAAATCCATAATGCAAAATTACAGTTACATTAGTTGATGGAAATTGTAGCTGACAAATGTGAAAAGTAAAATGGGAAGTTTGAACTCTTCATGAATTCTGGAGCCTGATCAAGCTTTATAGCTATTTCCCCTCTCATTGCTTATGCCACTGCTACTCACCAACAAGTATTTACCAGTGTTTCTAAGATGGAATTCCCCCATCTAAAACATGGGTACCTTTTTCTGAAAAGTCATATGAAATATACAAATGCTGAAAGGGCTAGAAGACACCCAGTACAACTTTCTAAAGTGCTGTATTGTGTTTGTGCATCTTTCTCCCTCTTCTTCATTTTTTTTAAAAAAAATATCCCACACTTTGTGGAATTCATGATGCCTATTGTGTGAACTTTGAATATGCAGCTGTTCTGCATTAATGAAATTCAGAAAATGCTCAGGATTTTCTGCCACTCTACAGAAGCATGCTAGAGGACACTGAACGTGACTCTGAGTGACCAAGCACAAATGCACACACGTGTTATAATGGTACTCACTATGTGTGTAAATTGCAAATTCGACAACCCTGTACAGCTTTCATTTTTTCTCCTGCAGGATTTACAGTTTCAGCTAAAAGAGCTGCAGAATCACCAAAGCACTGTAAATGAATTATTCTTCCAAAGGTGTTCAGCCTTTAAACGGAAGCAGTCATCAGTGCTGTCCTTGAGCTGTACTAAAAGGGCTAAATATGGGGAAATGCCTTGGGACTGCTGTATCAGACTGCCAGTTTTCTTTTATATACAGTACTCTCTGTTTTGGCAGTTTGTCTGTTTGTCTCACTGCTAGCGCTTAATGCTCTTTTCCAAGGCTTGGGAGTTCGAAGGCTTGGGATCCTCCTCCTAGGGAGGATCCCTTAGGGACAAGACAGATTTTTCACCAGACACTGAGGAGCTTCCCTGGGCTTGCTGAGGATTGCAATATGAGAAACCTACCACCATTTTCTCTTCTTCTCTGTCAGGTCTTATGGTCTGCCATGGGATTTTGATAATTAGTACTTGGTAGTACTTGGTATGAAGGAATTTTGTAATGTTTTGTGAAGCAGACTTCACTCTCATTAAAAATAACTGAAGAATTCCAGTTCTTTAATGTAACATGCTCAAACATACCAGTGTATTCATTTTTGAAGTATAGTTCAGTCAAGCTTTTTTGGTTAACTGGTGCAGGGTGTCTCACTTCACTGATTATTTATCCTCAATATTTCTTTAATGTTTCTATCTCAAATTAACATGGATATATAGTCCTTTTTACATGATTCTTGAAGATTAAAATCCATTTACTAGGAAATCTGTGGGAACTGTTGCTGTTACGCCACCTTGCAAATGTTCTTGAGCAGATCCTGATGATTGGGTTAGGAATACTCATGAAAGTTGTAAAATCCATATCAGTTGTAAAATCCAATCCATATCATATATCATATCAGTGTAATACCTTTATTAGGCCAACTTTCATGTTCTTCAGAAATCTTGAAATGACAACATAGCAAAGTGGGGTGGGAGGGAAAAAGCGAGCTATATTAAAGGCTTCAGTATCTGATTATACCATTAAGATGGAAGGTGGGAGGGGGTTACAGCTAATCAAATCAAGGTCCAGTATATACTGATTTTTTTTTTTAAAAAAATTGTCATTATGGATGACATTACTAGGTCCCAAATGATTTGAACTTGCTTTGAATTGTTAATATTTGTCCTGTATTTCTATTGCTGCCTCTGCAGCACCAGTGAAGTTTTATAGCTGTCACTGCATGGATAGAGCCTTGCTCCAGTGCTGTTAAATCTGACCACACTGATGACCAATTTCAGAAATGAAAAGGGAGAGTATAACAAGCTATCCAGATATGGAAACTTATATATTATCCTGTCAAATTATAAATACAACAAAATTATTCAAAGTCCAGTGGTATTTCAAGTTCTTCAGGCCTCTGCTGTAGAAAACATGTGGTTGCAACTAGAGGCTGGTGGAATGATTTTCACAACTAATAAATAGAGTTCTGTTGAATCTTCATCATCAAGTTGTTACTTCAATAATAAATTACCAGTAATAGGCAATCTTTCAGTTAGCAACAGGTAGCAAGGTGACTACCTCCAGAGTTTTTTTTAGCCTTTTTGACATATGGGTCTTCCTCAGTTGACATAAATCATACATCTCAGCTTACATTGAACTCCAGAATTCAAAATTCAGGATGCAGTTTTCAACATTTCTTTCAATTTTTCTAAACACATAAAATTAACATTATGAGATACAACTTATCTTTTACATAAAAAGAGACAATTATTTTTTAACATTTCTAATATTACAAGCTTACCTCTCTCCTGGAACAAGCCCATTCACATCTAGCAAAAGCAGTCTCTGCTGTATGCTGTTTTAGCAGGTGATATTATACAACTCTTACTAATGGTGTTCAAGTGACACTTCCATGTAACAATTTCTCTTAAAGATAAGTACTGTTCTACTTTACATTTATACTACAATTCCCAAACACTGAAACCCTGGGATCTGGCTGAATCTCAGTATCATCAATGTACAATCAAGTAATCTCTTAGTTATATATATTAAAAAAAAAGATAAAATAAATGATATGAATACTCAAAAGCTCAAGTAATAATTCAGAATTCTGTGTAATATCTAACCTTTACAATCTCCATGAATTCAGTATTAACTGTTGAGTAGCCAACCACAGAGAAAACTAACTTTGAATCATTACCACCAGAGTGTTCTGAGTTTTACAATCATATTCCAGGTTGCTCTAAGTTACATATCATAGGATTATGAGGGATTATGAATATTAAAGACTCATTAGTACACACTGATTTCTTTTCACACAAATAAGAGTGTTTTCACACCACAGGTCACCACAAATGTGGACACTGCTCATGCTGTGTTCAGTTTCTGGATATCAGAACTTCTATACACCTGATATCAAAGGAACACTATTATTTAAGATTATTTACCAATTGTAACTCCAAGAAAGTTATTTACATCATTTTATGTCCATGCCAAAACATTTACATGGGACAGACAACCCAAAATTTGAAAACCAAAATTATTAAGCATAAGAGTATAATTAGAAATGGAATTCTGGATATTCCTCTATTAGAATATTTTTGTCAATATGGCCATGCTCCAGATAAAGTTTTTTGCCATTGAACACCGCTGTTAAATCTGATCACACCGATGACCATTTTCAGAAGACATGACTGGATTGTGTTTGGATAGGAATAACTTGAAAGCATTGCTCATCTGCTTGTTTGTGTATCCAGATGCTATTGCCTTTAGCGGGCATATTTGATACAGAAAATTTTTCACTACATACTGATTCCCTCACTGAATTTGGCCTTAATTAGTTATGGTACAATAATTTATTGCAAGATAATTTATTTCAAAATGTAGTAATTTAACATCATAACATCTATTTAGGCAAATATTGATTTAACATCTATTTAGACAAAGAGGTTTCAGGGTAAAAGAGAGCTAATGTGGTGATGTGATTTGAGTGTTGGACTAGGACACAGGGACACCAGGGTTTGAATCCCAATTTGCCCATGGAAACCTACTGGGTGACCTTGGGCAAGTCACACCCTTTCAGCCTCAAAGGAAGACAAAGGCAAATCCCTCTGAACAAATCTTGCCAAGAAAATCCCATGATAGGATCACCTTAGGAATTCATATATAAGCATAGGAATTGGCTTATATATTTGACTGCCTTGTCTGAATTTTGATTTCTCATTTCCCTTTTTGCTATTTACTTACATTAGGCAACTTTCTAGAGATATGGAAATTAGAAAACTCTGTTTTCTTTCTTAAAGGGAGCTAGCAGGCATGCTTCTTTTTGTTTGCATAAATATTTTAAAATGGTCAAATAGAGAGGTATTCACAGACAGAATTCTCTACTTAAACTACTGAATGTTGTTCCCTGGATTTAAGAAATGTTGTAAAGAGTAATTTCTGGTCTTTTCAGTCTTGACTCTGTGCTCACATGTGCTTATCAGTGCTTGAGTTCTATAATTAATTTGCGCGCTAAATATTAATGAAAAAGAGATTTACCAGCTGCCTCATGAAAAGAGTTCAGAAGAAATATTTAAGATCCATCAAATCGAGTTAAGTATTACAATGCATGAGTTTAGAGATGTTGCAGTTCATGATTGCATCAGACGTAATT